ATGACTTCTTGAGATCAACTCCTGAAAAGTAATGAAACAACTATCAGCATGAACCCAGAAATCCTCTGGTGGTTAGAGGGAAAAATATAGCAAAGATACATTTCTAAGTTGTTTTTAAATTTATTATTGCTGAACAAAGGTAATTCTAACATAAAAAGTGCTGATCCTTCCAAAGCTTAACTCACCTTGCATACAAGTAATCATAGTGTTGCACTATGTGATTGTCACCTTCGCACTCACACAGCATGCACAACTATGCAATAAGTATAAACATGAGCACCGCACTTTGTATAAATTGTAATGATTTGGTAATGAATAAAGGTTGTCAGTTTTTAACATGGAACTGAGCAAGTAACTTGGTGGCAGCAGTGGGATTTGAATCCACACCTCCGAAGAGACTACTACAATCCTACTATTCCTGCAACTCTACGAGTGGATGCATCTGAAGATGCAATTAGAGGCACACTGTTACAAAACAATTAGCCTGTTTGCTTCACATCACACACACTAAAAAGCACCAAGGAGAATTATGCTCAAATTGAAAAGAAGTGTCTCGCAATTGTCTCTTGCATGGAAAAGTGGCACTAGTACTTGTACAGAAGACAACATCACAGTATATACAGATAATCAAGACAATCAAATACAGATAATCACAGACGCTCGAGACAATCTTCAAGAAGCCTCTCTACAAAGCCCCTCGACAACTGCAGCAAATGATGCTCAAGCTACAAAGATATCAATTTTCAGTTCGATATAAGAAAGGAAAGGAATTTTACGTAGCCAACACTTTGTCTCGTGTTCCTGTCACTGATCATCCTTCAACAACCAGTGCTAGGAAAGAATACAAAGTGTTCCCAATGGAATTAGCTGAGATGAATATTGAAACCAAGCAACGAATCAAACAAGAGACCACTAAAGATCCAATCCTGGTATCCCTGTGTCATTAATAACTAGTGGGTGGCCTGCAGAAAGAAAGGAAAAGCTGAAGCAACTAAGGCAGTATTGGAGTTTCAGAGATGAAATTTCTGTTTATAGTGGAGTACCCTATTGATCTCACTAAGTTATTGTCTCTTCTTCGATACCAGAAGAGATGTTGCAGAAAATACACAGAGTGCACCAAAGGGCCGATAGCAGCATAAAAAGAGCATGCAAGTCTCTTTTTTGGCCTGGAAAGCAAGCAGCAATCAAGGAAAAAATGCCTTTCATGAGGTCGTTGTGCCCAATACGTTAACAAGCAACCACAAGAACCAATGAAATCTCACACAATACCGACCAGACCATGGTCAAAAATAAGTGCTGACCTCTTCCAATTAAACAGAAATAACTACCTTGTAATGGTGGACCATTACAGTGATTACATTGAACTTGACTCCCTCAGCAGAAACACCACAGCTCACTCAGTGATCAGAGCAATAAAGCAACAGTTTGCTTGCCATGAGATCTCAGATGAGTAGATAATAGACAATGGCCCACAATTCAAAATTCACGAATACTTAAGATTTGCTCAAGAATATGGTTTCACCATAGTCAAATCATCACCTTACTAAAGCCAGGGAAATGGGAGAGCAGAGTCAGCAACCAAAATTGCCAAGAACATCCTGAAGAAATCTCAAAAAGAGGATCTTTATCTGGCTCTCCTAGCATACAGAAACACGCCTCAACAGGGTTACAACTTCTTACCAGCTCAGCATCTCATGGCAAGAAGACTCAAAGATATCACCCCTACAGCAGACCACCAACTCACCCTTCAGGCAGCATCCCCAAGTCTGGTGTATGAAAACATTGCAGAAAGAAGGTGAAGATCAATGGCTCAGTACAACAAGAGGGTCTTGCAGCCCCTTAGAGAGTTTTCAAAGGGGGAAAAAGTGTTCCTAAAACCCAAGCCAGCAAATAAGCACCAATCCTGGATATATGGAAAAGTTATTGGAAGTACTGCACCAAGGTCTTGCATTGTTAATACCTCAATGGGACCAGTTCAGAGGAATCACACACAGATTAGAGAGGCAAAGGTTGAACCAGAGAAGAAATATGAAAGAGCAGATGACCACCTGGAAATTGTATTCTTTCCTGAAAGTGAGCCTACACACAGAGATCAACCAGTAGAACCTTCTCCTGAGAGAGAACAAGGGCCTATATCCACATTACACTGTTCAATGAGACAACAAAGGCCTCTCCCAAGATTTAGGGACTTTGTTATGGAGTAAAATAATTGTGCTATCAAAATCAAATTGTGCTATCCTTAACTTTCATCTTTCAAAAGAGGAAAGGTGTTGCACCATGTAATTGTCACCTTCGCACTTACACAGCATGAACAAATATGCAATTAGCATAAGGACGAGCACCGCAATTTGTATAAATTATAATGATTTCGTAGTGAATAAAGGTTGTCAGTTTTAACGTGAAACTGAGCAAGTAACAATAGCACCATTTGCTTCTCAACTTTTTTTTTACTCCTTTAAAGGAACTTAATTTACAAACCCTAGATTTTCAACATTTTTCTTGTGAATATAGACAGCCAATTAACTCCAATATCTCACTTAAAGCTGTTTCTTGCCGCATTGTTAATCTCTCGCAACTACAGGAATGAATGTTTGTACTTCTTCCGCTGGCTGAACCTTAGGATTTGGTTGTATATCCATTTTTTAATTCTTATACACTGTCTATTTGACACTAAATCAAATTCATTGGCAGAATTTCTGTACCATTCACACGTGCGATGGGAGAAAAAATTTTAAGAGTGATGTGTTCCAATGGTCACACGTGCGGAGACCAAGCGAACCGTCTTAATTATATACACGACAAAAAAAAACCGGGTGGTTACTGCTGCTTTCATTTCAATTCCTTGGATATATTCTGCATTGTAAAGGGAGCTTTCAATCACAGTCCTAATGATCTTACCTTTCAAAACTCCAATTTCACCTCCAACCCAGACGTCCGCCATGTTTAAAACTCACGGATCGGAGATCTGAGAACTAGCAAAGCCCGAAAAGACTACTCAGTAGAGCCAGGTCTTCTCATATGCATTTGCGCCTGCCAACGTTTGGCGTTGTACTGAGCGAGATTCACCGAGGAAAGTCTCTTGTCTGTATTTTTTTTGCTTTGCTTTCTTCTCGATGTCGCGAAGAATATGATGGTGACTGTCTCGAAAGTGATCACATCTGTCATTTTCTTTGCAATACTAGGATGTGCTGTCAATGAAAGAGAGAACAAATCTTCAAAGAAGACATGGCTTAAGTTTGGATCAAAAACCCGGTATCAACGGAAAGAGATCCCATTTGAAGCGCCCATAGGTTGCGATCCTCTTCACATCAGCATGGTCATAAGACATGGGACGCGCTATCCTAGCAAAAAGGACGTGAAAAAAATTGAAAAAATGCTTGATGTGATCAACGAGGAGATCGATTCAAACTGGTCTGTTGGAGACCTACATCTTCCTTGGAAAAATCCCTTTTCTCTTGATCATGACAAACTTTTGGCATCCGCTGGAGAAGAAGAATTGTATTCTCTCGCCAAAGAATTTCTGAAACGTTTTCCAAGCTTGCTATCGCACCCGTATCATCCGCATAACTTCGATTTCATCAGTACGGGAACTTCCAGAACAGTACAGAGTGCTATGGCTTTTGCGTTTGGTTTGTTCGAGGGGCGAGGTAGGCTGGGTGCGAGTGGTTTTCAACCTGTGGCAGTCGAGTCGAAAGAAACTAACAACGATCATTTACTTCGCTTTTTTGATGTATGCCCAATGTACAATGTGAAAGTTGCAGATAACGACACAGCACTTCATGAGCACAAAAAGTTTAAACGTGGTATAGAAATGGAACGTATTGGTCATAAAATACAACGGCTCATGACAAAGCGTCCTGATAATCCCCAGACAACTTTCACAGCAGAAACTATTGTTGGAATGTACACTGCTTGCATTTTTGAGGTTGCAATCTTTAACAGAGAAAATACTTGGTGCCTCCTTTTTGACAAGGAAGATTTCTTGACTCTAGAGTACTTATCAGACTTGAAACATTATTGGAAGAGAGGCTATGGATACCCAATAACCTATCAAATTGGATGCCCTTTATTAGGAAACATTGTAAGCAGCCTTAAAAATGCAACAGATCCATCTTCAAGTGAGAAAAAGTATGGCAATTTTATGTTTGCCCATAGTGAGACTCTACAACCTCTTTATGCCTTGCTTGGATTATTCAAAGATCAGGAGAAACTGAGAGCTGGCAACATGAATGTGCACTCTGGGCGCAAATACAGAACCAGTGAAATTGTGCCATTTGGAGCAAACATTGCATTTGTTGTATACAGTTGCAATGCAGATGATAACTCTTGTGGTAAGGAATCAGATAGTTACAAAATGGGGCCTCTCAAAATCCAAGTATTTGTTAATGAAGAGTTGGTAGCTTTGCCTTGTTGTGGTGAACAGAGAGAGTGCCCCCTAGAGACATTTTTGCAGTGTTTTGACACTAAACAAAATGGGTCATGTAACCTGTCATCATTATGCAGCTTGGAAAGCAACAGTGCTGAAAACTATCATGGGGAATTGTGACCAGGATTATAACTATTTATAAAACTTCATTTATGTAAACTGCACAGATTCACAGCAGCAACATTTTTACTGCAATTGATTCTTTACAACCTGAGTCATCCATGGCAAAAAAAAGTTGTCATTAGAGAGAGGCAGCTGGAAAAAATTGGATCCAGAGAAGTTGTTACAGAAAGTTGCCCTGAAAATAATTTCATGGTCACCACCTGTAATGAACTGGACTGTCATTAAAACAATACTGCTTCACAAGGATTACTAATTCAGGGATGCAAAGAAACTCTGAATGTGATGTTCATGTTGCCAGTTATTCAGGCCCAAGTATTTTTTCTAATGGCTAACCTGCTGAACTCCAGAACACAAGGTTGGTCACTAGTAATTGTTTTTGAGCTACATACTTCACTTACACAACATATTCCTGTGTGTGTAATTTGTTTAATAAAATACTAGTGTTGAAAATATTGTATTTCTACTTCCTTGCACTCTTGGGAAATTCAATAAAATTTGTAACAATGAATTGTCAATTATTTAATAAACTGTTGACTTCGTTGATTTGCATCAGGTTGATTATATTTCCATCCAACGAAAAATTGTTCAAGTTTTTTGTCTTTTTAAATTTATTACTGCAATATATTAAATTTTCAAAATTATCTGAAGGTGATTTTTCCCTCAAACATGTGAGGATTAAAATTAACTTCTGTCATCCCTTAAAATGCAGACTGTGGTGATTGACATGAAAATTCTCCTTTTGATTATCAATACACCATCTTGTGAACAGTTGGTGAGAAAAAACCTTAACTCACTAGCTGGAATATATTTCCCTGATATATCAACAAATTTTTTTATTGATTTACAAGAAAAAGTATCGCAGCTAGAAAGGACAATTAATCAGATCTCAAAATTGAAAGGTTTCATGTTAGCTGTCTGTAATTCCCAAATCTTCCTTAAGCTGCTCTATCATTTCCTGCAGACGACTCTGAAAAAAACAAAATAAATTAATAATATGAAAAATATTCTTGGAATCCCCAAAAATTTCATGGATGTAGATATCCAGGGTAGAATTACTGCAAAGAGCAATTTCCAATTGAGGGTCAGAGGTAATGAGTGTATTCTGTTGGTTTTAGCATATCACAACATGTACAACCTTTGATTGGTCAAGAAATTTCATCCAACCATCCTTTCAATTAAAACCAGACACAAAGTTGTTACTCTATAAAGAATAATTAACAATTATATTAATTATTATTAATAGAGAATAATTGGTCATATGTGTTCTCCATTCTCTCTGACATACACCTACTTTGGTTTTTTATGAAATACTCTTTTATGATTGACAGTATAACTCAATTACACAAACTGACCCACACTGTACAAATGTATGGTGTACATATATGTTTGTAATCAATAGTGTTAAAGCTGAAAATATTGATGTGTTCTTACTTCATCCAATTTATCCTTCCTTCTTTCAATGTGCATTTCAAAAACTTGCTTTAGAACCCTAAGTATAGAGCAAAGATTAAATCAAATTAATATGAAACAAAGATACAGTCAAACACTCCTTTTACACAAACTTTAAAAATTTCATTGGGGGATGTATGATACAGAGCTCTTGTGAAGAAGTGTTCTAGCTGAGCCCCATGCAGTCTACAGGCAGAAAACTTAATGCACTGTGCCTGCTTACAAAGAATAACACAAATGCATGGGCACAAATTAATTATGAGTTCAACCTGGTAAACTTTTTATTTAAAACTTGGATTGTGAGCTCAAGTTGTCCAACATATATTCCTGGTACAAGAAAATACAGATTAATGTACTTTAATAAATTATAGTAGAGCATGTATTAGATCTAGTTTTCTACTCAGTTGCTGGTTGGTCTTGTCACAAAGACATCTTTCCCTTAATGGAGAAGAGTCAGTAGAGATTGTGTTACATGAATTGACCAAACAGTAGCTGTAAAAGGAAACTTTACAAGACCCTGCTCAATACATGTACAACCTCATATAAAGGAGAGACAACATTCTACCATTGAAGACCAAAGGTTTTAATAACCTGATTCCTAAATATACAACAAGTACAAGAGTGATGTACAAAAATGAATAAATAAGCTATTAATATTGTGTAAACAAATAAACACAAAAGATGCACAAAACTGTTTAAACTGAAATTATTCAAATCCCAAGTTTACAGCATGTCACTAAGAGAGTTCTTTGCACAGAGTATTTTATCGCACTGAGTAGTTTTACTACTGTATACAGGTGTACAACACAACCAAAAAATGGTTTGTGAAGTGTATTAAGTTTGCTTTTATTCTGAACAGGATTTTATAGACAACTGAAACAGTACCTATTGCTAAAAATGCCTCTGGCTAGGATGTCAGTGGTAACATCAGAAATGAATTTGAGATACTGTTGTTCCTCTTCCCTGGTTAATAGGATAAACATAAATATGTATTAGAAAATACAATACCTAACTTAATTGTTGCTTACCTTTTAAGTTTCCGATAAATGGTACCATGTAAATCAGATTTTTAAAATTAATTATTTATTTAGCAACTTTACACTTTGGAGTATTAAACTACAGCTTACTTTAGTGTAAATGAAAAAAAGGCCTCTTTAAAATCTTCTCCGACACTGAAGGCAAAAGTTCATAAATTTTAAGTCAGTAAACATTTGCTGATTTCAAAAGCACAGCTAGCTGAGTAATTGGTATTAGCATTTCAGAGCATGTACACATAAGTGTTTACATGAGCTGTACAACAAAAAATGTCATTTGTTTTGTCATTAGTGTAAGACAGAGAAAAATACAGTAGGAGCTCTTCAGTAAGGACTAGAACATCAGACCTGCTGGTTGTGTGCTTTGTAACACCGAGCTTTACTGAGAAACTCGGTGGTGAGCCAGGCCAATTATGGTTTTACTACATTCCTTCATGAGAAGTGCTCTGCATAGTCTGAGCAACATCAAAAGCACCATTTAGAGTAAAATAATTATATGCCAGGCTGTGTTTGCCTGGTTCTAACGCAAATCTCATGTCAGTTTAATTCCTTGGAGTACAAACAATGATACAGAACTTTGCAATGAGAATTTAACAATGCAAGTCAGTAAGAAATCATTAGTGTCTAATTTTTATCCACTGTTTTAATGTCCCTGAATCATTACTCACCACATGTTTGCCTTGAAATCAGGGGACTCTGGAACTGTTCTAATTGATGGAGGACCTCTGTAACTATATTGTACATTTGAGAGGTCAAGGCGTGGAACATCCTTATGTCTGGTTGTTCTGTCACTGCGTTTAAAGCCATCAAGAAACGTTCTATTTTTATCAAGAGTTCTTGCTAGGTTCTTCTCTCCAGTTCTATTCAACATCATCCCTGGATTCTTGAAATCATATGACTGATTTTCATTACTACTCAGCAGTGTGTCAAAATTTCCATCCAAATTGTTTGATAAACTTTGATCAGATTGGTCAACATGTTGAAAATTAGTTCTCTGATTCTCTGTATGAAAATGGCCTTTCAGTTCAGTTTTTTGTCTTCTATGTCTTTGTATGGGTGACACCGGTGGCTTGGATTGTATTTTATCAAGCACTGGTGTAGACATTTGACGTTCTAATGCTGTATCTCTTGGAGAAGAAGAAGACACTGCAGGAGTACAATCTTGACCAAGGGAGTGCAAAGACAAACTTCTTTGAAGTGGAGTCCCTGTGGTTTGCCTATGACCTGGAGACTGCCTGTTTCTTGTTGAATTTAAGGGGTATGACTCCTTGTGTGATGAAGATAAGAATTCCAAAGAAGGGGTCTAGAATGAATAAATAAATAATGGGAATTTAGCAATGAACATTCCACCAGGTTGTTCTTCTCGTCCTCTGTTTACAAGTCAAATTGGAATCAGGAATGTTGGTTTTTTGTGGAGGGTGGAAAACCAGAGGATTCAGAGGTAAGTGTAAATAGGTATGCCTCACCTTTGCTCTAAGAGATGATGGAGTTCCAGATCTACTTTCCAAAGCAGCCCGCTTTTTTTGGTCACGAGCTTAAAATTACAAAAGGTTACAGAATAAAAAGCTATTACACACTGCATTATAAAATACAAAAGGTGACAAGGAACATTTATCTGGACACTTTAATTACTGTGCCGGTCAGTCAGAGTGCACTATTTACTTGTAACAATATCATTTTTAAGATCAAAGCAATAATCGGCTTATTAATCTAACACTTAGCCTACCTTTCATATGCGCTTTCATAGATTTTGGAGGAGATGTATCAACAGCCGCTATAACAAAAGTAGAAATCGGAACATACAACAAATGTTTAAGAAGGTAATTATATAATAAATCTACCAGTGATTTAAAAAAAAATCACACAACACTTAGAGTCTGCATCCTTTCTCATCTCTACCAGAAGTCATCTCTCTCAATGAAAGCAGCTGTATATTTTATGCTAGCTTAGCCATTAGCATCCAACCTTTGTGAGACTCAGAAATTGTTAAATCTTAATTTTAAGTAAATTGATTAGTCTCATTACAAATTAAAAAACAATTCAGAAATTGTTGAAGGTTCAAAACAGGAAATTAAAGGTCACCTTTAGCAGACAGGATTCGCCTGTAATGAGATTTCATGTGGTTTGCAATGAAATCCTGCCCCATGTATGACATGGCTGTAGGTGCAAGGGCTACAAAATAAAAACCAAACAGTTAACATGGGATGATAAAACTATCATCTTACTGTTATTTCAAGAAACTTACATAGTGACCCTACCACCAATGCCATAATTATCAGAACCCTTTCAATGCCAGGAGTTACCAAAACTGAATTTCTCCTAAACAATTCATATTGATCATTGTCAGGCAGTGCTTAAGTAAGCGAGAGGGTACGTAAGAAAAATATCTGTAAGAGGAAATTCTATGGTTTAATACCAAATTCTCTGATTGCAAATCACAAGCAATGTACAGCAAAAGAAAGATTGATCTATAAATCTTGGGAGTAAACGAGTGAAAGACACCCTAAAAATGGGATTAATCCAAAGCTTAGCCAGCTTGATTCAAGATGGTCCCATACTGGATTGCACGTGGAAGGTTCTAAGTGATTATTATGTGATTATCCGTCAGTGGATAGTTTCTGTGCATGCATACTATCATTGCTCAGTTTAGCCCACCATACTCTACTTCATAATACACAAGAATTTACAACAGTCAATTTGTTATCACTACGCCATGAAACCATCATCAGCTTCAAAATACAAGCACAATTATAATGCATTAAGCTACTGTAGTATAATATTCAGTCTATGATCTGCACATAATAGTTTTTGAGAGGCTCAAACAAGAAGAGATGTAATCTGCAGCTTTAACTAACTTGCACCACAAAGCGAGTACATTAATGTTAACTTTTCCTGGTTTGTTTACAAATTATTCTACTAAAATGACCCTGCAACATATTTAATTCACACCTTTTGGTTTATAAAGATACTTTTAACTTGATTTTAAAAGACACAACTTTCCTTAAATCAAACAGTTATAAAGATCGCCTGAACTTAAGCTGAAAGTCTACAAACGTACCACTACTCTTCAAGGTGTAGTGGCCATTTCGTAGGCGAGTCGAAGAATTACCTCCCGAGCTCATCTCTGTTTCATTGATAACGATCTTTGAAGTACCCCATGGAAAATCTAGAGCACGTATCTAATTGAAAACAGCCTGGCAAAAACAGGCGATTCAAGATCCAAAAGACGTCTTTTCATTTCTTTGCGAGGAAACAATTCGATATTAATTGTTCCTTATGATCGCGGGCGCTAGTACGCAGATCATTTCCATGGCAACAAGAGCTAAAATGACCTTTGCGGTCGAGGCTCCAGGTTAGCGTTATTTATTAAGGATGACAAAAACCATCATTACTCTTCACTATTACATAACCAAAGAGGATTTCGTGTGGCACACTTCAAGGGTAAACCTGCTCGTTTTATCGAAAAAAGCTTCGTGTGATGCCCCAGTATATTTGAAATTATACGCTCGATCGCTACATCCCTCTACGGCTACGCGGTTGTATTTCAGTTACAGTAGTAACAGTGACATGGTAGGGTCTGGGTACGAAATCTATAAGTGCACCAATCGATCATAGAGCTGAGCTAAGGCTGTCACGCCATGTGCCAAATTGTTCTATGTCTGATCATTTCCCAGACTTCTCTCAGGCTTAACTGAAGGTAAAATTTCAGAACAAGCGAGCCGGCAGGTAGCAACAGAAGAACCAAACAAAAGTTTGTAAACATTCCAAGCGCCGTAATTTACGTTATTATAACGTGAGCAGGGACAAAAACCCTCAAAGAGAAAACAAAATGGTCAGTCTGAGTTTCGAAGGTTTTCCCGCTCCGTTAGATCGCAAGCTTACTTACGGTAATAAAAATCAAACACAGCTAACACTCGTATGGTATGATTAATTTCGTGTTTAAAAACAAAAAAGAACAAAATGTGAATGATGAAAAATATGTGTCAGAGCGACTGCGATCAAGCTGAGGTCCATCGCGGCTAGATCATCATTGCGATCTCTGGTCATTGCTATGAAGCATGTCTCATAGATTACATCGGTCGCCCTTCGACTGAACAACTAGTTATAAGAGCTTGCTATGATATCCTTACCGATGCGTTGAGTGGAAGGCCTCATCAGTCACAGCATCCGAGTTTTACGGCGCTGTCATTCCGAGCAATCTTCATGTCCCTGTGAATGCGGCTGTCGTTCATTCATAAAACACACGCCTTTAGCAGTTTGTTTTCTACTTGTCACGTGAACAGATCTTGCCTGATTTTATGAGCCATAATTAAATAGGATTTCACTGAACATTTCACTTTCCGATTCTGTGTTAGAGACTAAAAAACTTCAGGTAAAAGTGTCAAATTCGACCTGCCGAACTATTTCAGTTTAAAGATTGTGAACTTTGTTTCCGGATTGTTATTTTTGACAGCTTTGGTCTTGTTTCACCAATCAGATTACTTGAACCATTATAACAACGATTCTGATAGACTTATTGTAGCATGCTTTATGAGAGTACAGAGCAAGCTGACGACACTGTTGTTTGCTTTGGAAAAAGAGGTATCTTTTTAAAATTGAAAATAATGCGTGGGGAATTTAACGGATTCTTTATTTTAAAGCAAATATAGAAGCCTTGACTGTGCTCTGTTTTGTTGTAAAGCATGCAGGAAGCAGTTAGAGCACTCAAGAAGCAACGTGAACAGCTCTTAATTCGTTTTGAAATGAAAAGCTCGTTATTAGTTTTGAATGGTTGTCAGTTCCCTGTAGGTAAAATACTAAGTAGATACTTAAATCTTGAGAAGAGCTTTTTAAAGTAATTGACATAGTACTAGCACTCCCACAGGTCAACTGGTGAGTTCAGTGAGAGCATGTAAACATAGTTGTGACGTCACGCTTCTGTGTTTGCCGGCACTATTTGAAGACATTTCAAACTCAAAGCTTATTCAAGTATCGAAAAGTAATTTCAAGTTTAATTATAGCTTAAAAATCAACGCGATTTTAAAAGACAACGGCAAAAAATTCAATTTCACACTGAGCAAACGAACGACAAATCTACGATGTACACAATGTTCATGCAATATCAAAATTTGACCCTCTTGGATTGGTCTTCAGTTTCCGTGTTCTTGGCCGATGTGACCCTGATTTAATTATGCTTTTTACTTTTGTTTCAAAGCTGTCAAAAAATTGGGACGTATCGAGAATTAAGGCCAAAAAGAGTAGAGATTAATGAGACGCCCGGTCAATGTAGCAGATATCAGACTAACAAAAGACGTTAACAAGCTTTTATTTCCCATGACAAGGGCGACTGGTAATCTCGAGAACACTTGTGTTGGCTCTCACTCTTTACATCAAAAAATTTTTAAAAAAAACTATTTTCCTTTCATGAATTTGTGTTAATCAACCAATAAGAGTCAAAAAGGGCATATTACAGACGATTTCAACACCCAAATAAAAAATAACAAAAGGTTTTGAGACACCCATTCATAAAACGAAATTTATATTTCACTAAATGGTTAAGGTTACCAGACGCTTGCTTAAGTCATGGTATTGGGTCTCGACGGGTAAAAACTTATCAGAACATTGATTTCTTGATGATCAAAAAGTAAAAAATGCAATTGTGGTTTTGGATTCTTGGCTGGCTTCTTTCGATTCTCGCCATGACTGGAAATGGATTTATCATCTTCCTTGTTTGTAGCAAACGGCAGCTTCGCACCAAAACCAATGCGTTCATTGTTTCGCTTGCAGTGGCTGACTTCTGTGTCGGGATGATTACTGTTCCTTCGTTGTTTGTGTGTGAGTCGCTTGATCTGTGCAACGATCGACCTATTTCGATGGTGGTGTGGATTATAAGGAACCTGTTCGCTTTTGCGTCTGTGGCAAACCTTTGTAGTTTAGTCTTGGATCGCTACATTGCTATTGTGAAACCTTTAAAATACTTGACTATTATGAAGCGTCGTCGAGTCATTCAGATGGTTATCTTATCCTGGGTAATTCCAACCGCTATCATGACTTTTGCGGCAAATGTTATATTGAATACTTCCTTTTCACAAAATTTAAACATCCCTAAAAATACTTTATCCGTGATGTTTATCAGTTTCGAGATATTTTCAAGTTTTGTATTAATATGTGTCTTTACATCCATGTTAAAAGTTGTATTTAAGCATAATCGAGCCACTCGTTCGTTAGCAAAACAGTTACGCTTTAATCATCAGGTTTCCTTCAAAACTCAGGAAAAGTCTGCCATTATAATGATGGGGATTGTAGTCGGATTGTTCCTGATGTGTTATGGTAGTTTTATGAGATGCAGCTTAATAAGGATTTCTGGTATTGTTAAAGCATGTAATGATAGAGAATATAGAATAATCCTTCTAGGGTTAAACTCTGCTACCAACCCTTTGGCGTATTCTTTCTTCAAGAGAGATATAAAAAAGGACATTAAAAGACGATTTTGTTGTCCCGTTTCATCGAAGTCAAAAAAGATTATTCCTCTCAATAAGAGCAGTTTTTCATCATCGCTGACTGCCATGGACGGGAAGTTAGAGTAAATGAAATAGGCGTGGACTTTTATCCTGGAACTTCTTTGTCTTAAATGTAAACGGAAGAGGATACTATAGGGATAAGCATATTTATTGTTGGCTTTGTAGTCTGTTAGATTCAAAACTAATGTAAATGATGAACAAGAAACTTAGTAAACGCATAGTTAAGTTGAATGTACTACAGATTTACTGGGAAGTTAACTTATAACTTGGAATCTGTTACTTTGAAAAAAAAATTCCTGTGTAGAATATAACGATGTATTTACATAAAAAATGTAACGCGTAGTACGAAACTGATTTCCTTATGTGATTCTAAATTTTGAAAATCCGAATTCCGATTTCGATTACTCTTTTCAGTAATGGATTTATCTTTTAATACAAACAATTAAGCTTTTCCGCGTGCACTCCCCGTTGTGTTTGTTTACGGACGTGATTGAAAGTTTAGCCCCAACTACCATTGCGATTTCGCCCCCAAACGTAAACAAAAATTCGCCCTGACCTTTACCAGTTCGCCTCCAAATCATCAAACCAGTAACCGATGGAAAAACATATTTATTTTCTGTCGAATTCGGGACACGTTTCTATAACATGAATTTTTTTCTTAGTCAAACGCTCACGCTGAGTTGCTATGAAACACTAGATTCAGCGACACACGAGTGCGAGTATTGAATTACGAGATATCGTCCTTGGTCTTTGGTTCAGAATAATCGTTGGCTCCTAAAGGAGTTTTCACAACTTCATTAAATAATAATGCCCCTCATCTTCATTTAACAACAAATCAAGAACTCTTGGCGGTGTTCACAGGTTTTTAAAAAGTGTCAGCCGTAATTTCTATACAATCATTGGCATATCACAACCGATCTAATAACACTTTTTACTTTACTTCAAAGATGTCTAAAAAACTGGAGTGTGTCAAGAATTAAGGCCAAAAAATTGGAAATAAATGAGCCACTCAGTCATTGAGGCAAATATCAAAACTAACAAAAGACGTTAATTTCAGAAGCTTTTCGGTTGATTAGTAATATTGATCTAGAACTCTTGTCTTAGTTCATTCATTGCATCTAAAAATCTAAAATATTTTCTTGTCATGAAGTTGTGTTAATTGCCCAATGAGAATCAAAAAAGGGTGAGTTTTTTCGGTCGATTTCAATACCAAGATTAAAATAACAAAAGGTTTGGAGAGACCCACCTTACAGCGCAATTTATATATCATGAAATCTTAAAAATTACCAGCAGATCTTGTCTTAGTCAGAACGTTGTGTCTGTTTTGAAGGATAAAAACTAATCAGAATATTAATTGCTTAATAACCAGAGAGTAAAAATGCAAGTCTGGTTTTGGATTCTTGGCTGGCTTCTTTCTATTCTAACCATAACCGGCAATGGATTTATCTTTTTCCTTATTTGCAGTAAACGGCAGCTTCGCACCAAAACCAACGCGTTAATCGTTTCACTCGCAGTGGCGGACTTTTGTGTTGGGATGAGCGCTGTTCCTCCGCTGTTCATGTGTGAGATGGCAGGAAGTTGTAATCTGGGTACCATGGTAATCACATGGACGACAAAAAGCCTATTCCAGTATGCGTCTGTGACCAACCTTTGCTGTTTAGTCCTAGATCGCTACATTGCTGTTGTAAAACCGTTAAAATACTTGACCTTTATGAAGCGTCGCCGAGTCATTCAGATGGTAACCTTATCATGGGTCATTCCAATTGTTCTCATTTTCTTTACATACATCGTATTGAGTATTTCCTTTTTCCAAAAATCGATTCTCCCCATAAAGATTATAACTGTTATGTTCATCAGTCTCGAGATGTTTCCAAGTATGTTATTGATATGTTTCTTTGTAGCTATGTTAAAAGTCGTATTTAAGCATAATCGAGCCGCTCGTTTTCTAGCAAAACAGTTACGCTTCAATCATCAGGTTTTCTTCAAAACTCAGGAGAAGTCTGCTATTATAATGATGGGGATTGTAATCGGATTGTTCCTGGTGTGTTATGGCATTTTTCTACGATGCAGCTTCACGGTAGTTTCCGATATGGATACATCATGTAATGATACACAATTTAAAATGCCCCTTTTAGTGTTAAACTCTGCCATCAACCCTCTAGCGTACTCTTTCTTCAAGAGAGACATAAAAAAGGAGATTAAAGGACACTTTTGTTGCTCCGTGTCATCAAAGTCAAACAGAATTCATCCTTTAAATGAGAACAGCTCCGCATGAGTTAATGTAAACGAATAAGCCGTAACCTTTTATTGTAGGACTTTTTGTTATAAATATAAATGGCGGCAGAATAAATGATTGCCAAGAATTAATATATTCAATTTAGCAGTTATAAGAAACAAATACAGAATAAGATTTAGCATTTACCAAATGTAGAAAACTAAAGGTCGCTCTTCGATCGTTCATCTTCAGAAAACATCTGTTTAAACTTCCTCTGAAAAGGAAGGATCCATTTTCAGGCTTTGGTGTCAAAATTAAAAAGGTTTTCGGTTTCTCAAAAACCATCATGCGTGTCGGTGAGTAGTTATCGGTTTTACGTAGTTATTGGCTGAATCGAAAATTTATTTTAATAGAATTAAAATATTCAATTTAGCAGTTATCAGAAACAAATACAGAATAAGATTCAACACTTACCAAATGTAGAAAACTAAAAGTCGCTCTTCGATCGTTCATCTTCAGAAAACATCTGTTTAAACTTCCTCTGAAAAGGAAGGATCCATTTTCAGGCTTTGGTGTCAAAATTAAAAAGGTTTTCGGTTTCTCAAAAACCATCATGCGTGTCGGTGAGTAGATATCGGTTTAACGTAGTTATTGGCTGAATCGAAAATTTAATTTATTAGAATTAAAATATTCAATTTAGCAGTTATCAGAAACAAATACAGAATAAGATTCAACACTTACCAAATGTAGAAAACTAAAGGTCGCTCTTCGATCGTTCATCTTCAGAAAACATCTGTTTAAACTTCCTCTGAAAAGAAAGGATCCATTTTCAGGCTTTGGTGTCAAAATTAAAAAGGTTTTCGGTTTCTCAAAAACCCTCTTGCGCGTCGGTGAGTAAATAAAAAACAATAACTTGGTAGTAAATTGATAACGCTATCAAATTAGCTTGATAACGCTGTTTGTATTTAGTGGTTTTTTTGCTCAGACTGAGGGATGACACTCAAAATGACAACCTTAAAAAAATGAATGACAGATGTTAAACTATCTTGATCTACTTTTTTTTGATCATCACCTCATTGTTTGTAAATCAACCTAGCTAAGTAGCTGATGGAAGACGGTATCTTCAAACAGAGTAAGTGTTAACTCTGCCTCAAATAACAGGATCTGCGAGTAGCATTTTTTCTCCAATATAACACTTTTAATGAAGCGATTCGAATTAAGACTAGCCAAGAACAAATGTTCTCACAAACTTAAATAAAGCAACGAAAGCAAGGAACTTTCACTAACAAGAATATGTTCTGAATAGTTCATGGTTTTATATTTTTACAAAATTTGTTATTGATTTCCTTTCCATTTTATAAATAATGACGCACTTTAGCGAACCGAGTCGTATACCGTTATATTGCAAGTCGGCAAATGGACGATAATTGTGTGTAAGTCTGTCGAGGAAAAAAAATTTCGTAAACAAAATTCGGAGAATAAAGCAAGAAGTAAATTATTTCTTTCTTTTTTTTTCTGTCTTGTAAGAAATTGTTACCCTAAGTTTCTCCGCGTATTTTCTTTTTTTTTTTTTTAAGGTTCGCTAAGCATCAGTTTTTTTTTAACTGAGTAGATCTGGTACTACATGAAGACGACTTATTTTCTGAAAAGCGACTGAAATCGTAACTGAGCACGCTCCTTTTATAATTTTGCTTCATCAGGAAAGTTGAAAGCAGGTTTTTTCCTTTGGTTTTTGGTTTTTATTCATTTATTTTGTATGAGGGACCGGTTTGGCTAGCCTTATTAAAATGTACGAACACGAGACCAAACAAATAAGAGACTCGTTCAGCGTTTATTTACTTCATTAATTAAAAAACACAAGCAAAACACTTCCTATGGAGCTCAAAATTCCTTCATTAAGTCAGGCATTAAACCAAATTAAAGTTACATTAATTTTCAGCGTCGTTGTATATTAGTGGGATTCTTAACGAGTCTCAACTTGCTGGCCCCTCAGGTGTGCGTCCTCATCTAGCAGGATCTGTTTGCAATCGAGTTGTCGAGCAATGGAGCAGACTCTTCGTTTCCGCTCTTCTTTCAAATTATGATTACAAGCCTAAAAATTAAAAAAAAGTATAATTGCAACCATACCTACTTGAAACATGAAGAGCTCCAAAAAATCAGAACAATTTTTGCTTCTAAAATTAAGCTAGTTTTTTCGCTTGTGATTAAAGGGCACCTGGTAATTTTTTGCTATAATTTAGTTTCCTCTTTACCAATTTTACTTGCTGCTTTTTTTTGAGTCCAAATTAAAAAGATAAATTTAAGTTTCTTACGCATTTACCGTCCTAGAGTCATTTTCTGTGCAATTCCGCCTTCGGTTCCTTCGATCAGAAGAAGTGACAAGACGAAAAGAACACCCAAAGCCAGTTTTGTTTCCATTTCTTTTCTGAGGTATTTTCGGATTCAGTTTGCTCGTTGCGTTCGTTTGATGTGGAAGGGTAGTACAGGGGGTTTTTATAAGATCTTGGATCATCTGCACTCTAAGTGATGCCACGCCCCCAATGAAAAAGAAATGCCGCAGGTAAGACTATATCTTCATGCTGGAAAAATTTTTTTAGCATGCAGCTGAACGGGATCAATTCGTAGCAGCCTTAATGGCGACATAAAAAATTTTATAATTAACCCAAAGAGCAAACCAGAAAAGTGATACTTGCGTGGACTCTCCTCTCGCTTCTCCTTTTGTTTGTTTGTTTTCTTTTAGTTCCTTTTTTTTTTCTTTTTTTTTTCATTATCACACGCTTTTAAGTCCCTCCTTCACTTTTAGTGTTTAGTTATTGTTATTTGTTTAATGGAACTTGATACAACACTTCTTCGACATAATGAAAAAAAATTGAAAAAAAGTTTTCTTTCATCTGGATCAGAATTTGCATGTTATTCCAACTACCTTCTCTTAAAAAATACCAATTGACGACTTACTTAATGAAATTCAACGTTTTGTTTATGCGCGTGCCAAAGTCTCATTGCACTTCCGTTTAGACAATTATTAACTTAAATCGCTCGTTTCGACCATGCAGAAGGAAATTGGCGAACGAGCGTGATCAGTGCAAGTTTTCACTTTACCCGAGCTATGAACTGTTCCCCTTTGTGGACAAACTGTGAACGGGAGAAAGGACTCAACTTAAACAAAAGAAGGAATGAAATTTGCTCCTTCTTCCACCTGCTTTGTCTGATCAACATCAAGAAGCAAACTTCTTTAGGTAAATTCAAGTATAATTTGAATCAAACTCCCATGCCGCTCCTGTTTTGTAAACCTTTGAATTGAAAGGTTCGGCCAAGCTATGCAGAAGAAACTTTGGCGAACCAGCATGATCCGCGTGTGAGTTCAAAAATCCAGTCATTGTTATTCTTAAGCCGAGTTGCTAACAACTTCTCCTTAGTGGTTCAAACACGAACGCACAAAAGAAAGAAAAAAATACATTTTCTATCTTTCTCGTGCATTGGCTCACCTCCAGGCCCAGCACAACGCTCAAGTTAGCCATGTCATTTCATTCGAAGTACCCAACTCAGGAAGCTGCATTTGATTCGGTTCTTCAAACACGATTAAAACATGCGATGCAACATAAATGGTGTGACAGAATCAGTCTCTAACTTTATTATAGCGGAGCTCGCAGAGCGTAGCCCCATAATTATACAAAATAGCAGTAACCCATCAAGCCGAAAAAATTTGGATGTACGACCGTACGACCGTACAAGGCGCTACTTTTAACATGCGTGGTCAACTGGAAATATGAATTTATTATTGGGCTTGTGGTCTGCCTTGGATTAAAAATGTACTTGATCAGTATGAAGAATAAACTATAGATTATGGCAATGTAAAACAGTGCTAAAGTTTTACTTGGAAATTAACTCAAACTAGGTATTTGTAAATAGAGAATAATACATGGGAACGCATAGGTATGGAATTTCTCCTCGAGTGTTTCACTCGATATCTCACGAGTGAGCGCAGTGAACGAGTATGATATCCTCCACCAGGACTCTCGGCCTGTAGTGCAGATTACTTAATATCTAGGCGTTGCTTCTTCATCTGCATATCAAAAGAGCGTTTAGTAAACACTAAGGGATATCAGCGGATGGTTTGTTATAATTCTTAAAAAGCGTATGAGTTTACAAACCAACACAGAGGGCTCTAATGAGGAATTCGTGGCGGCAAGAGTCTATAATCTCTTGATAGCGGCTAATGCTAGTTTCTTACCCAATCTTCTCACATCTAAATCACACCGATAGTGTCTGGAAATGCGACTAGGCTCGGGTGAAGAAAGATGGAAGTTGTCGCCTAAAACTAAAGAATATTAATAGCCTTATTTGTTTGTAATATGATGCCAGCGAAGTAAGATCAATTAAAAAAAAAAGAAAGACGTGTGAAACCTCTCCTTCTCGTTTTCTATTTTATTTGATTTTACAATAAGGAATAAATTATGATAATTCACACTTTATTTTTTTTTTCATTCATCAACGAAAACAAACCTTTTTTCATTCTGTGATACTTATACATATAATTAAGTATTTTATCGTGTTATAAGCACACTCCTGTAAACTTGTAAGAATTCATGACCACACCATAAAACTTCGTATGTCTGTTGTTTCAACTAATTTCTTGGGGCATTTCCAAGTCCATGGAACGTGCTTTTTGAGCCAAACGTGTACTTGGAACAAACTGAAACAAAAAAGAAAAATTGCACTCTCAGCGGTTTCACCTGAGAAAAAGAGGAAATTACTGTTAGCTTTTACTTACACCGCCCCCTGAAATTTTTTGATCAATATCTGTCAAGTAAATAAGCATATAAACCCAACTGTTAGTCAAGGTGGCTCTAAATGGTTTTGTTGTCAAACACCAATTTTTTTTGACGAGCTGATACTATCCCAATGAAGAATCAAACCTCAGACCTTTGGATTCCGCGCCCCGATGCTCTAACCACTGAGTAACTGCAGACTTTACGGTGAGCGAGGTCTATCACGAAGTTCATATGACACGCGTCCTGCATACTGTTAGGATCAGCAATGTCGATAGCGTCATGTTTGTAAATAGAATAAGAGAGATATTAAGTTTTGACCATCGGAGCGCGGAATCCGAAGGTCTGAGTTTCGATTCCTCATGGGTACTCAATATTTTTTCTTTGTCCCACGCTCGTGACAAGACCGCCATAGTGTCAGTACAGCCTTTTAGAAATACCATTCAAACAGAAGCGTTAAGCTCAAATGTTGGAGGCTGTTACTCAAAATGGATGGCGATGGTCACTCCCATTTTTTTCATTGAATGCCAATCAGCAGATCAAGAATCTAAGCAAAATTTATCAAGATCTGTATCACTTTAATTGTTTCATGAGGGGAGCTACCAAGCTTTATTTTGAGCTGAGATACTGGAATCTTAAGTTGGAGACTTGTCCTTGAGGCTTTCATGTTACTATGGCAATCTTGAATATAAAAGATTAAATAAATAGATAAATAAAAAAATTTGGTTTAAAACAGATGGGTATTTCTTGAAAACAATTTTTTAGGAAACAGTATTTAGTATTGATCTGCCAAAAATCAGTGTTTGAGCACAACAATTCCAAAGCACAAAGTGGAGTCATTTCAAAAACCGAGGTGAAAAAGTACTCCGAAGGAACTGTCTTCCAAAAACTGTATTCTTACACGAAATTCTTTTAACCATTGGATCACTTTCCAGCCAAAACTTGAAGCCTTCTTTAGCCCGTTGATTGTACACCGATGGACGCCTTTGAACTTGGGGGCGTGGTAGGTCGTTCGTCTGTTGGAGAACTTGCCTCGAAGATTTCTTCTCCATCGGTTTGCCTTGATAGTACATGGTATATGTTTCTGAGACGAAAGTTTGGTTAGCCACATTAACGTAGTGACGTTAAGTTCACGTTTTTGAAATTCTGTCAGATTGATTGCTTTTCTGAAAAACTAGGTATGTCTTTCAGACTCAAAGTCAACTCGAACGGACTCTAACGGTATTTTTCAGACCTTAAGTTTTCCACAATTATTTGAAACAGCTCTAAGCTACGTCGCGTCGTTACTTTTCTCCTTTTTCATTGGTTCTATTTCATTTTTATCACGAAATCTAGTGAGCAGAATGATTGACTAAGCCCTGTCTCCAAGTAACAAGTATTAACTATTAACCTCTGAGGCATTTTTCAACTCAGCTAAAAATCACAAACCACTACTCAAGGAGTAGGGTAACAAGCAGGGAAAGGGGGATGGGGGTTCCTGATCCCGTTTCACCCAAATTCAAATTCAAGCGTCACGTGCAGTTTGTATTTCAAGCGTCACAATTCTCACCAAACATTGCCTTACTGTAAAACTCCCGCGTATCGTGTAAACCCTTTACCAGTTTCCTAAGCCTTTAACTCCCATGAGTGACCATGACAGTATTTCTCGTTAAATTATCAATACAATACTAAGCAGACAAGTGATGAGAATAGAGAAAAACATCAATCAAGGGAATATTAGTTGATCCAATACCAAGTTTTTCGAACTAACATCCTAACAATTGTACTGACAGACAATAAGGAGGATCACTAATAAGGTCTTGGAGAGAAAGGGTTAATGAACGCTGAGGAGATATTTCGGCCTTAGTCCTAGAGCGCCATTTAGTAGATACCATTATTTCTGCAAGTTCTGTCTACTTACTCTTTAACAGTTCTTCTCTGTGCTTGCTTTGATCATAGTAATATCTCTGAAACGCACTTGACAGCTTCGGATCTTTCTGAGAACGACTAGCCAAAATTTCCTTTGACGGCAAACTATACGACATACGATTTACGAAGTCAACGTGCTGAAACAAAATTATTTCAAAACTTCGTTTAGCTCTCTAAATAAATCCAGGCCACAGAGAAAGGAGGTATTGAAACAATTACTCCGGCAAAAGGTTTTACACCTGAGATTGGTCCCAAGCAATTTTGAATTGAAAAATACTTTGGTAAATGGAGGCATTGAGAGGCTCCTGTTGACATCGTACTTTTAAGTTTTCGTCAAATTCTAGTTTGTTCTTTCAGATGCCATTTTCTGAATTCAGTCCCAACTGCTTTTCCCAATTATTTAATACAATCGACGCTATCACTGCATTTTTAAGGGCAAATTTCATCTTCCCAAAGTTCATTGCTTACTCACTATAAATAGTGAACAATTTTGGCAAAGAACATTTATTCAGAATATGTGGAGGTCCACGATTAAATTGGAAAACAGGCGCATGAATTAGAGTGTTTTTGATTAAGAAGCAATGTATCTTATGTATCTTTGTCTTGTATGGAGTAATGCATTTTATTATTTGAATTGTAACAACATGGTGACCTCGAAATTTTTGAAAAGTCATCATTTTTTCCCACCTTAAATTGAAGTACCCACCACTTGAATACTCAACGGGTTAAGAAAGTATACAACATGCCTTGAATGTATTTTTAAAAATTAAGAGATTTTTCAAATTTTAGCGGGGCGTAACAAGAAGTAAGATTATAATGACCAGCTTTGCTGATAGTAGCGGCCAACTACGCTTCACCTCCAATATGCGAGTATTTTTTTGGGATATCTAGAAGTTTCCGAGATATTAAGAAAACATAAGGAAAGTTTTGAGATATTCGTAGCTTTCATGGCTGAGGCATTCGTTTTCTTCCCTCTAATCTTAGAAAAACTCAGCTCCATGCTAGAATTTCCGAGACGTTTGCCATGTGATCAAATTATCAGCAAGAAAAAATTAACTCTGAACTGTTAGAGAAATTTAAAAATTTTGATATTTTTTGAAAGATATTCATCAAACGATTTTACGTGATATTTAGTATGAGCCCCTTAACTTATCTTACCTTTCCCTTCAGCTTTGCCCAGTGGTCTGTATCCAGCTGCTGGGCGAGTTTTAACGAGGGTACATCTTGTTTAGACCAGTGTGACAAATTCTTTCTATGAGGGGGAAATTCAAACAATCTATTATGTTTTCAAAACCCGCACCAGGAAGATGAAAACTCAAAAGAAAACAGTAGTAAGAATGCCTCGTATGTAAATCATCTCCAGTCCGAGAAATAAAGGAAATTCGAACATATATGCGTAGTAAATGTATTAGTAAAAATAAAAGAAATAAAATACTTTTTTAAAATTCCGCTTTGAGTGTAAAAGCTAATTTTAATGGAAAAAATTTTTTCCACAATAAAATTTCGATAGCGATCTTCTACTTGGCTCATGCACAATTTACCATCAGATTCTGATCTTGAAATATTGATTCCATCGTCAAGATGGTCTATGAGCCAAGCTGTAAAAAATCTTCGAAAATAAAGATCCATTTTTGGAGAAATATCGATTGGCAGACGCTGCATCGTGAAATCAATAATAATTATACTTTGCTGCAATTTCAACGGGTTTTCACTTGTTTTGATAGACTTCAAGCTTTAATCGACACCGTCTACTGGATATACAAAGTTTCTTTCGGCGAGTCAACGACGATCTCTCGCAGTCGAAACTGTTTTGCTCCAAAGACTGAAGAAAGTAGAGCATATTCTTTTTAGATGGTCAGATAGCGACAGGCGAGCTTATCTTTCTTAAAATGTAAAACATTTCGGTTCACGACAAATTCAAATTAGGCTATTGACATGAAATGCTTTCGGTTATGTTTGCCTAGAACACGTCAGAAAATTTTCCACCTCACCTGTGTTCCCAAACTTTCGGAAATTCTCGGGCGACAGGCGCATGTGAAATCGCTGGAAGGTGCAAAGTTGTAGCCATTTTATCCAGCCACCTTTTATCGCAAACATTCGAGTAACTAAGGGACCCGCGTAAGCTTTTCATTGATATTTAATTAATTCGGGCTCAAAACACCTGCCCTCTTGGGAAGAGATCTAGTTTCCCTCTGTACAAAAGATGGATCTATGACACGATGAAGTGTCAACAAAAACCATTGTGCTATCAAAGTATGCAATTGTTATTGCTTAAAGTGTATGCGATTTAACTGTTTACTCTGTAGCTTTCTCTATTCGCATTGAAGAATGTAATGGTTTTTTGATTAAAATGTCTTGTGGCAATCTTTAAACGTGGTGCCCTGTAGCTTACATTTGCCAAAATTTGAATTCAACTTATATTTAGATAAGCACTCTGTCAGAAACAGTGCAATTTTCAGTTGAAGTGGAGACAAGTAAGCCGGCCAGAAGTCTGCAAGAAGTCTGGTGCAAGACTTCTGGTGAAAGAAACATTGGTGTGGCAGCACTGTCAATAAGGGTCTCCCAGCAGACTAAAAGGTGAGTTCAGAAAAAATGAAAACAATTTTCCGTGCAAGTAATTTCGGGAGCAGTGAGGAACATGCTTTGTAAACCAGTATTCGAGGAAAAAAAAGCTGAATATGTTTTCCTCTGTAATTGATATTGTTATTTTTTTCCCCGATCACCAAGGTTTCCCATTATCTTGAGTTTTGAAATCTTTTGAATATGGAATCGTTATTATTGACTGAAATATCCCAGGAAAGCGTATTGTTTGCAGAATCTTTCATTCTAGCTTGTTAGAAAGAAAAGAAGAAGAGAGCATTTGGCATCCCGGGACAAGTGTAATAACTTTATCGTGCATTTTCTATAAACACGGAAATAAATTATCGATTGCCCATCTATTGGCCGACAGCAGTCAATGTCAGTCGCATCAAAACCATCAATTCCTGTCAGTTGATTGTTTATTTCGCAACTATTTACCTTCATCAACTGCTCAGCCAAGAATGAAGTATATGACACACAGCTGATTGGCTTGTTTGGAAGTGAATAGCAAGTACTATTCACCTCTGTGCAGCCGAGATTAATTTCCGACCATTTTTCGGTAAACCGAAGAAATAAACTAGTTTTTGGTATCTTTGTGGTATATGCTAAAACAATTTTTTTACCTCAATGTCAGTGAAAATGGAGGATATTTACCTCCACTTTGGTGAATAATTGAAAAACATTGTATAATCTTCTATATTAGAATTCTTCCCCAGAATTTGACGCACTTTTTGAGAAACAAGAGCCCTTTCACTCCCAAGATATTGATATCAATTCCTTACCGACTAATACATATTTCGTAAATTTTCATCTCCAAGAATTTGGCGTTAAATCAAAAGATACCCTCAAGTTGATGTTTGTTAGTCTCGTACCCAAACCTTCCACGGCCAAGCGGTTGTAAGATCCCACATTTCAATTACAAGGTAGGATCTGGGTACGAAATTAGATGTTTCTATTTTTCCCCAACACTTTTCTACCTCACAGTGTAGTAATGCTGTTACGGTAGCAACTTCTCTCTGACAATCAAAATATCTACAACATCCACCAAAATATTTGAACGAAGTCTTTGATTTGCACATTCCCTATACTTTATCAATAAAGAGGAAAAATCTGAAGCAACTGAGCAGCGGGGCAATTTAGGACGGGATGCTGTAAAAATACATGGATTGAAAAATGAAATTATCTTTTTCTTTTAAACTCGTTCCACGAATGACCGGACGTGCGTATCGTCCATGAAGGCACCAGATATCGACTTTAATATATAGATTTAGCCAAGCCTAAAAGCGGAGCTCGCATTTTTTTTTTCCCGCACGTCTCAAGGGCACAACGCCTTGCCCCGGCCAGGATTAGAACTCGGGTCGTCCGACTCGGAGCCCAGTGCACTGACCACTGGACTACTGGACAAAGCCGTGGCATTGGCGTGCGGTACAGTTGACCACGCATGTTAAAAGTAGCACCTTGTACGGTCGGTCGTACGGTCGTAAGTCCAAATTTTTTCGGCTTGATGGGTTACTACTACCATTTTGTATAATTATGGGGCTACGCTCTGCGAGCTCCGCTATTACTAGAGATGTGAGCAGTGTTTAGTTCAGAATAGAAACATGAATAATTTGGCATCTTGGTGCCCGATCTCCAAGTACGAAAATAATATTAATATCAAATTAACAACGCTTTGACAGAAAGCTGCAAGGAAATGTAAAAAAGTTTAAAGAAGCACTTCCTAAGTTATTGTTATTCTCGTTTCTGCTGCCGTTGTGATTTGATTAAGGCCCCAACTGACGTATTGACATCTTTTAGTTCTTGTGGATACTAATACTCTATGAGATTGACCTCTATGTTACGCTGTCTGTAATAGTGATTGTAGTTGTCTATCTTCGAAAGCTGTTCGGACCTCAGTCGACACATATTCGTAGCCCATATTTACCTAAGTGGTACAGTGGTAGAGATCTGATCTAGGAACTGGTCGGTCTGGGTTCGAATCCTCATGGGCACAATTTTCATAACCTTTTATTATCTCACATCTATGGCTTAGCTCTCTCTTTTCACGTCACCTTCTCGCTTCATTTAACTTAAAAAGAGCTGATTCCTACAATAAATTCGATATTGAATGATCCTTTTCCATCTAAACTGAGAGTAAAAGAGCTCTAACAGAATAAAGGTTCTGCCTCAGTCCCTCAAACTGTCACATTACTAACAGTGCCCCAATGTAAAATTTGTTCTCATCTAGAGGACGAGTCATCGTCTTATCAAAACGGCGAAGCAAAGGCGTCTTTTAAACTCTTCGTTAATGTCTCTCTTGAAAAAAGAATAAGCCAGAGGATTGATTGCTGAGTTTAGCACTAAGACAGGAATTTTATAGAAAACATCTTTACATACGTTTTTCCTATGATACAAGAAAATAACAGTACATCGAATATATATCCCGTAACACACAAGAAACAAACTTATCACAATCCCCATCATTATAATGGCAGACTTTTCGTGAGTTTTGAAGAAAACCCGATGGTTAAAGTGTAACTGTTTCGCCAATGAGCGAGCGGCTCGATTATGCTTAATGACAACCCTAAACATAGATACAAAGCAGAAAATTAACATCACACTTGGGAAAAACTCGGTTATAAAAACTAAACAAATCGAAAAGTGAAAGAGAATTGAATTCTCTTTGAAAAAGTGCTTGTACATTGTATGAACAGTAACAACGGCGAAGGAAATTGCCCAGGATGCGGAAACCATCTGAATGACTCGGCGACGCTTCATAAATGTCAAGTATTTTAAAGGTTTTACAACAGCAATGTAGCGATCCAGGACTAAACAGCAAAGGTTGGTCACAGACGCATATGCGAACAGGCTCCTCGCTGCCCATACAAATGAATACAAATTAGATGACAATTTACAACCATTTTTTTCCATCTCACACATAAATTGCGAAGGAACAGCGCTCATCCCAACACAGAAGTCCGCCACGGCGAGTGAAACGATGAACGCGTTGGTTTTGGTGCGAAGCTGCCGTTTGCTCCAAACAAGGAAGATGATGAATCCATTTCCAGTTATGGCCAGGATGGAAAGGGACCAACTGATAATCCAAAACCAAGTTTTCATGATTTTACGATCACAAACGATGCCTTGCTTGTTGATCAGCACGAAGGAGTCCTTAGACATCTGCCGCCTCTAAGGCTTTGGCGTATTTAAATTACCTCCCTGACGTGCTGCAGTTGTCATCGGAGAAAAAATTAATGATTAAGATATAACCCTTAAACAAACTATCTTCATAAATACCTGGCCATCTGACGCTTGCAAAAAGTAATGTCGTCTACTAACTATACACAGTTTTTGAAACCTTGTCGTTAAGTACACAGGCTATGACCAAGGATTTATCAGTTGTAGGGAAGAACTTAACGGCCATTTTTATCAATCTCATTGCGCAAAACATAGACTTGTATTCCGCTAATTGGTTCGATTCAAAGCCATCTGTTTTTCAAAATGCAGGTGGGAAACGATGAAAAAAATCATGGCTTTCATCAATACGGGATTCTCTCCTCTACTTCCCTCTCCCTTCTCCTCCCTCCCCCCCCCCCCCCCAATAAATTTCCAGTTTTGACCATTCAAACGAGTTTTTTGCTATTATACAGAGCTGTTCTAGACCAATGTTCATATCAGAAAACTATTTCTTTCATCGTAAGCGTAGTGAGAGAAGGATCCTTTTCAGGCGTGACGCTACTTAAGTAAAATAATTTAATAAAATAATAATATAATAATAATATTTAATAAAATAAAATAATAAAATAGCTCCATGTTCTCCATTAAAATGCCAGAAATTAACATATTTTGAACAGCAAGAGCGCGTTAAGAACTATACCGTTCGTTACAAAAGAGAGCCCCGACCCAGTGAATCGGTTTCCAGCTGTCACTTTCCTGGTCGAAGGCTTCTAAGAACTGCTTTCTGGAGCTTTGCTACAATATGAAGGGTAAACAAAACCATTGTGTCAACAAAGGATACAAGCGTTATTGCTTGAAGAGTTTATGGCTTGAATTGTAGCTGTGCATAATTGCTTTGACAAATGTCATGGTTTCTCCTGAAATTTTCCTATTTTACTTACTTTCTAATTTCTTTTATTCGGTAAACGTTGTGCTTTATTGTTTAAATTTGCCTCACTTTGAATCTTATTCATCAGCTGGTATTCTGTCGAAAACAATGAAAAATCTAGCGACAGTTATTTTACCTTAAAGATTGGTCTTAGGTGAGAGCCTCTTTACACGACCGCTACATTTTCTAATTTGAATAAATAAGGGTTTTTCGCTTTTACCAGATCATAAACTACTACCATCCCGTTATATAAACTTTTTCTTTGGAAATCTTTTGGATATTTTATGTGGCCCAAGTTTTCGATACTTAGTCGGTGGAAAAGCCCCGAGGCAAACCGTCTGTTATTGTATAGACTGTTACATGTATGCCGGGTTGGTGGTGATTCAACCAGGATGCACTTCAGCCCAGGCTCATGTAGGGAGGCCCTGAGGATTCTTTACCGGCAATCTGCGGCTGGTTTGTAGCTGCAGCAGAATCATCGCCAAAAACTGTATGGTCTCTCCTGGTAGTATCAAAAAGTATCAAAAACATCCACCAAAATATTTTAACCAAGTCTTTCATCACATCTCCATCACTCGACACCGGCATAAAAAGAATCAGAATCATCTGAACATGCTACGCATGACTGGGCAACTTTTCTTAAAGTAAAGCAAAATTTTGTGATGGCTATACACTCTGTTATCAGCAACTAACATTTAGGCTAAATTCTGGAGAAAACAACATGATCGTGATTTCGATATTCCACATTAGTTCAGTAACAGTAACTCTCATGACAGGCCCTAAGTGAAATGAGTTTGTGTGTTGCCTCAGACGAGAATAGGGAAACTGGATTTCTTTTGATGGGTGGGGGGGTTCAACCTTTGATTAAGAAAACACGGAAATTTTTCTTTACCACGATCGCCTGAATGAGCCAAGAATATCTTTCGACAAGTAAATTTCAAATAATCCGCGACTTTGCTAATACAGGGGTCAGAATGAACGCTGGGTTGGCCAAACTCGTACCAGGTCCCTCAAGGGGCGTGTTGTTTCGCAAGGCGTCGATCTTGGTTGTTGTTGTGTGAGATGCAGAGCCAAAAAGAGATCGCAAATTATCTGAAAGTTGTATGTTGGCAAACCTTTCTTATTTCTATGATGGGCCGAGGAGATCATTGATCTGTGTGAGAAGGTGAAAAATTTGGAGGAAAACCTCTCAGTTATTTCCAGTTCGTGGGTCCGGGCAGTTTTACCATAATTCCATTCTATTCTAAGCCTAATTCATATCCAAAAACTAATTTATTACTTATTTACTTATTATTTATTTACAAGCTGTCATAGAAGTCTGCCGACGACCTTTAATAGAGTGGCTGATGACGTTACTCATTCAAGAAGATTTAAGCAAAATCAGCTTCGTGTTTCCAATAAGAGTGCTTTAAAAAGACGTATTTTTGCACATTTAAGTCTATCTTAATAACTGTATGACATTTGAAGGTTCAAATTTACCGTTTTTTGCAAACAAGAGCAGAGAGATAATGAATAGGTTCCAGCTTTGGTGACATGGAAAAATTAAAGCCAAGAGCCTCATTTTCGCTCTTGAAAGCTTGTTATAACTGTTTTCCGAGGCTTCCTTCCAATATCAAGTGTAAACAAAACTACTTCAACTGTCTTCAAATAGTTCCTGTGAAAAGGTTGAAACATGTCTGGCTTTGTTGACGTGACACAGTAAAGGCGCCTTTTCATTTCCTTGTTTATGTCTCTCTTGAAGAAAGAGTACACCAAAGGCCTTTGATGGCAGAGTTTAACATTTAAGAGGGATTTTAAATCCTTTATCCTAGCATGATACATTAAAACGAATCGACAAACTTTAAAAGACGTATTTAACCATACGCGAAACTGATCATCCTTGCGAAATACTGCTGAACAAATTAACTCAGTAGGGATGTGAGGATCGACGAAGAAGTAAGGACGACAGCAGCAACGCGGAAAACTTCGGTTGAACGAATGAATTTGTACTTTTCTTAAGTAGTTTGCGAATGGCTGGATGTTTTTATCGTCTTTAACTGCGCCAGACTTTAAATTGAACACAATATGTGCAAGCAGCTTTGGATTCCAATTATAAAAGTGAATAATTCGTTGTCGGGGTTCCCATTCAAAGACCGCGAAAATTTTGTTGATTTCGCCTTGACCAAGGTTTTGCAGAGGACTACCCGCGAATGAACTAAGTTTGAAGATGCACGTGAAGAGCAAAGTTTCCTCTTGAAATCGTTTGTTTCAACACGTCCCCATTTCCGTCGCTGTCGCGGTTTCATCAAGAACCCTCTCGAAACAATGCCCTTTTTTCTTTTTCTTTTTTTTACTTCTCAGTCTCTTCAAGAGATAGCAAGCCAACTCGCTTCATTAGTTAAGTCAGAGAGAGCTCATAATAAATTTGCTCTTCGCTGCTCCTCAGCCATTTACGCTGATAATAAAAGAGTTGCTCTAGAATAAAAGTTCCTTACTCAGTCACTTAAACTAACATCTTACGATGCCCCTGTTAAAAAATATCACAGCAAAGCCGTCTCTTAAGCTCTTTGTTAATGTCTCTCTTGAAGAAAGAGTATGCCATCGGATTGATGGCGGAGTTTAACACTAAAACAGGAATTTTATATTCAGTATCATTGCATGATGTTTTACCCTTAACAAGGAAAATAACGCTACATCGAAAATGTATCCCGTAACACAACAGAAACAAACTTATCACAATCCCCATCATTATAATGGCAGACTTTTCCTGAGTTTTGAAGAAAACTCGATGGTTGAAGCGTAACTGTTTCGCTAAAGAACGAGCGGCTAGAATATGTTTAAACACGACTTTTAACATGGATACGAAGCAAAATATTAACATAACACTTGGAAAAAACTCAGTTATCATAACTAAACAAAGCGAAAAGTGGAACAGAATTAAATGATCTTCGGGAAGAAGCTTGTATATTGTTACAACAGCAACAAAGGCGAATGAAACTGCCCAGGATAAGGAAACCATCTGAATGACTCTGCGACGCTTCATAAAAGTCATGTATTTTAAAGGATTTACCACAGCAATGTAGCGATCCAGGACTAAACAGCAAAGGTTGGTCACGGACGCATATGCGAACAGGTTCCTCGCTCCCCAAACAATTGCACGCGAAATAGATGAAAATTTACAGCCATTTTCCATCTCACACACAAACAGCGAAGGAACAGCACTCATCCCAAGACAGAAGTCCGCCACGGCGAGTGAAACGATGAACGCGTTAGTTTTGGTGCGAAGCTTCCGTTTTCCGCAAACAAGGAAGATGATAAATCCATTTCCAGTTACAGCCAGGATGGAAAGAGACCAGCCAAGAATCCAAAAGCAAGTCTTCATTCTACGATCATAAACGAAGGCTTACTAATTGCTCTGCAAGAAGTAAGCTTTAGACAACTGACGCTTCTAAAGCTTCGGCGCATATAAATTACCGCACTTAACGTGCTGCAATTGTCATTGGTGAAAACAAAATGTCCTTACGGTCATAGATACCTAGTTATCTACAGCTTATAAAAATTAGTGTTATCTGTTCACAATGCACTATTTTTAAAATCCTGTGTTAGGTACACTGGTTATGAAACTGATGAATCCATCAGCTGTTGGGAAGAACTTACCAAGCATGTTTATAATTTTAACTGCGCAAAACTAAGACTTTTTAAAAGATCCCGTTAATTGATTCGTTTTAAAGCCATCTGTTGTTCAATTTATGGGTAGGAAAGGATTAAAAATTCATAGCCTTCATTCATGCACTTCTCCCCAAACACAAAAATCTTATCTTTGAACGTTCAAACGAGTGTTCAGGCATGTAAAGACAGCTTTTCTAGGCCTAATTCACATCCATTTGTTCGTCAGTAACAGAGGCAGAGATTTATACAATTGACAAGGATCATTTTTAGCGGCGTCGCAAGCTGCTATGACAGTCTGACAAGCTTGAATAGAGTAGCCACAAGCTGCTTCATTTGAATAACTTTTTTAAATTAGCTTCCTGAATCAGTTTCCGTCTTTGGTCATTTGAGAGAAATACCAGCCAAGAATTCAAAATCAGGTCTTTACTACTTTTTTGGGAAGTCAATTTAAAACTGTTCAATGTTTAATTTTTTTTATCACAAGGTTTATTAGGTTAGAACGAGTGAATATTTAATTCCAGAAAATTAGAACCTCAACCTCGTTCCCTCAGTCCTCTCTCTTCCTGAGAACGAGGTTGCAGTGAACAATCATCTTTCCTTCTTTCCAACATAGGAGGTTACCATAGTAGCGTAATTACGTCTAAAGGGATGATTTCAACGAAGAGAGTGAATGTCACTCTCCAGCGAAGGAGAAAAAAATTATGCTTTTACTTTAATCACTCTGAAACGAGTATTAAATAATTTGTAAGAAACCTTCAGTAAACAGAACATACTGTTCCGGGGGGAGCATCTCGTTTCTTTATGTCCGTGAGAATACATTGACTACGATATAACAATGAGAAGAATAAATACCACTACAATTTACATCAAAGGTCACACGCATCACAGAAAAAAGCAAGAGCAAGTGATGCCTTCGAATGGTTTCTGCGTAACTTACAATCTCTTAATTAGCAAAACGAATCCCACAGGACTTCCTACGGCTGAAAACATTAACATATCACTCCTGCATAAATTCCTTGCATAAATAACACATAGAACACACTTGTTAAACATTCAAGACCTTACAAAATATATCAAATAAATTTGAAAGCACGAAAATATTTCCACGGTTAGGCTAACCGTCCACACTACTGCGAACCGGAAACGGAGCAACCTGGTCCCAGATTTATCTTTTTCCCGCCCCTAGGAGCGAGAAGGAAGGTAATCATGGGAACGAGGTTAGAAACGAAGCTTTTCAAGAAGCTGATATCACTCTTATTTTTTTCTTTCTTTAATTGGATAGAAAAGGGCCTTCATTACGTGCATGTGTGTTGATGCTGTTAAACTTTTCTCCTACAAACATTTGTTACATCCTCAAATTTATCTGATGAATCTATTTGGTGTCATCGTTGGTTCTGTTTTCTAATACTGTGGAGGGAAAACATGTCTTGGGTCTTAGAGTAACACTGTTTCGAAATTCTGGAGTATCTTCGGTGACAAAGATAATGCAGGTGCACATCGCAGAAAAAAAATTAGCTAAAGAAAATTAAAAAGGTAGTTTCCGGAATAAAATGGTCGCGGGAAAAACGCTGTCAATGGATTTTCCAGCGGGAATGATATTTTTATGGTCATCTGAAGGACTTTTCTGCACGAATGTCGATGAGTTCTTTTCTACTGATTACAAAGATCCAAGTTTACCCTTACCTGAAGTTTCAAAATCTTTAGAATTAAGCATCTTTATTGTTGCTTCAAACTTTGCACTATTTTGTCAAAATGTTTGAGATATTATAGAGTAAAATGGAAACAGTGACTTTATTTCCTAGAATAGACTGTAGTTTATCTTTTACTAGGTACCGTAATAGGATAGAATCTCACCATATCGTGTATCTCTAAAATTCTTGTAAATTACTATCATGCGATCTATTTGCTGTAGTGCTCTTTAAACCATCGATTTCAAATGACGTCATGATTGCCTACTCAGTTTGATGTTAGACCATGATGCAGCCTATTAATCTGTAAATGTGACAGGCAACTTAATGGCTTCTCCTTACCACACAAAATAATGAAACAATCAGTAAAATGTTGGATTGAAACCTGATATTGGTATCTCATGAGCTAAAAAAAGTTCATAATTAGCCAGTGAAGTAGACTATCGATCTTAGCAACTGTAAAACGATCTATCACACGATTAATTACAAGCACATAGTTATTTTGACCTATAAGTTCACTTTTAACCTACAAGCCTTTTTTCAAGGTGTTGGTCTGTTTTTGTGTAGCTAATGTTAGACAGGTCAATTTTAAAGATATTGCTCCTTTATTGTTTGAAAAGAAATATCGAAGGATATTTCTCTTTGTCATGTTCAGCATTAGAGAGGCTTGAAATCCACTAATGAGTTCATATTCGCATTTTCTCTCAGATCCTTGGCCATTTACACTGATTTTAAAAAAAAATCATGAAATAGAAGTTCTCGACTGAATCACTAACACTAATTCTTCATAGCGACCAATGAAAAACTGTTCTGATCATGAGGACGTACCACGTTTGACTTTGTTAAATTGACACAACGAAGGCGTCTCTTTGCTTCCTTGTTAATATCTCTCTTAAAGAAAGAGTACGCCAAAGGGTTGATGGCAGAGTTCATCACCAATATCGGGATTTTGTAGTTGTCATCATTGCATGACGGCTGAAATTTGAATAAATGAATAAAACTACATCGAAAATAAATCCCGTAACACACAAGAAACACTCCTATAACGATCCCCATCATTATAATCGCGGATTTTTCCTGACTTTTGAAAAAAACCTGATGGTTAAAACGTAATTGTTTCGCTAACGAACGAGCGGCGCGGTTATGCTTAGATACAACTTGTAACATGGATACAAAGAAAAATATTAACATCAAACTTGGAAGGGACTCAAAAATGATAAACAGACAAGTTAAAATTTGGAAAAGAAGCAAGTTATTGAACAGGAAATTGTTTAGTGTTGAAACAGCGATGAGAACAGAAGGAATTATCCAAGCCAGGAGAATCATTAGGATGACGCGGCGACGCCTCATAAGTATCAAGTAGTTTAAAGGTTTAACAACAGCAATGTAGCGATCCAGGACTAAACTGCAAAGATTCGACACGGACGCGAACGCAAACAGGCTTCTCACAGCCCATTCGATTATTTGAGCGGATAAATTATTGCAACCATTGACCATCTCGCACGTAAACCATGTAGGAATAGCCATACTTCCAATACTTAAGTCTGCCACTGCGAGTGAAACGATGAACGCGTTCGTTTTGGTGCGAAGCTGCCTTTTACTGCAAATGAGGAAGATAATAAATCCATTTCCAGTTATAGTCAGAATGGAAAGAGACCAGCCAAGAACCCAAAACCAGGCTTTCATTCTCGCAAACAATGTATTAGTTTAATGTTAAAGTCAGTTTTCTCCGGAAAGACAGCAAAAGAAGCCATCTGTCACCCCATGAAGTTTTTCAAATCACCATGTATGGTGCAATTAAATTGAATATTGTTCAAAGTGAAATGTTATGACATTTTCATGGCATTAATGAACAGAATGGCGATCTTTTACTCCGTGGTCACTTTGTCTGACTAAGACTCGTGGGTGTGTATCTTTAAATACACAAAGGAGAGCTTTGTGATACGAAAGAAAGCTAATTACGAAAGGTAAAGGACTAATAGAGATAGACATCCGTTTTTACGAACTGCATCGTGTAGAAAAATTTTTTGAAAAAAAAAATAAATGCAAAAATGACAGAAATAGGTTTGTGAGATTGTCCATCGCCACGTAGATACTTAAAAGAGGCAAGAGATTACAATCTTTGAGGAGTACACGACGAGAATTTTCCGCCAAAGCGCATTTTTGCTCAGAGAAATCGCTTTTAGTCTGACAACGTTCTAATTAAATAGTCGGCTCATCAAGAGAAAAAATTAATGACTTCTTCCATCTGTTATCTTGGTTGGATTCACTATGACTTTTATCACATAGACTGGTTCCAGGAAAAAGATGCTCTTAGTTTTTATTCTTTATTTTTTTTAGATATTTTCATTTTATACAAAGAAAATTGGAAGTTATATATCTTATAGCATCGTTGATTATTTATTTAAAGCCCCAGAGGAGATTTCAGATTAGAATATTACTAAACCAAAGCGATAAAGTGATTACTTTTGGGCAATTAATTAACTTCTGCTATCAATTAATCTTTAGTAACCGATACCTGTGAGGAAAAGTGACTTTGACCTCAAGTTTTACACTATATCTTACTTATTTTGTGTTTTAAATTTTACTTTTTAGGAAAGTCCTGGGTTTCAATGATGAATTTTTTTTCCTGAGAAGCCCATTTTATACACTTTAAAATGACATATTGCAGGTGTTGTTCCTGTAAATTTTTGTTGAGATATGAATTAAAAACTGAATGTGGACAAATTTTTGCTAATTTTTTTGGGATGACATGGGTGCACATAAAAATTCATAAAAACTTCATTTTTTATTCTTTTTCTTTCAGATTTTCAGGAAATGTTGCTGACATGTTAATAATTAACTTCTGCTATCAATTAATCTTGATTAACCTATACCTATGAGGAAAAGTGACTTTTACCTCAAGTTTTACACTATGTCTTACTTATTTTGTGTTTTAAATTTTACTTTTTAGGAAAGTCCTGGGTTTCAATGATGAATTTTTTTTTCCTGAGAAGCCCATTCTATACACTTTAAAATGACATATTGTAGGTGTTATTCCTGTAAATATTTGTTGAGATATGAATTAAAAACTGAATGTGGACAAATGTGTGCGTTTTTTAACTGCAGGAGTTGGGACACAGTAAAAAAGCTTTCGTGAACATCACAGTTTAGCAATAAACATCAACATTGGATAACAAATTTTGTATACAAACATTTTTTAAAGCAAGTGTAATTGTTCAGTCATAAATTTCCATGGCTGGACAAGCAGCTTGATAAAAATCTCATCTTTGTTTAGCTTTAAGCAATGGCTTTCATGGTTCAAACTGATTTTACATAGTTCTAACACAAACCTTGAGTTAA